TCCAGCATCAGCATGCTCCAAGCACATGGTAGCAGTGAGTCGAAGAGGCCTCTTCATCCTCCTTTTTTTCCGAGTCAGTGTGAAGTCTACTCCACTGGCCGACGTATCTTCTATTGTCGATGCACGGTGTGGGGATGGCAACCTTGCTGTCCTGTTGCTCTCGTACTTTCCCAAATTCGCAGATCATCGAAAAGGACGATGCTGCGTGATAGCAGCTGCTTAACGTTGGTTGCACCCATTGCATTGTTGAGTGATATGGAACGGGCATTGGACGGCCTTATACTCCGCTTCTTCGTTGACCCAGACTTGCTTTTTCGTCAGTTACACCCTTGATTTGATGCTTCCTGCCTACCCGGACAGTGCAACCTTGCAAAGTCGTCCCTTCACTCTTCTTACAACTCTGACTGTGGCCTCGCTGCTTGCGACCCTTAGGCTTGAGTACAGGTGGGAAGGCAACGTTAAGAAGTTCCAGACTTTATGTCAGCTTCATGCTGCACTTATATGGGGTGGTCCAGCTAACCGTCACAGAAATTTTGCAAGCCCTTGTTGGAAGGGTCTGAGACTTGTTGCTTTTGAATTTCGGGTCTATAGCATTTGCAGCTTGCTCTGTTTGTGGCTGAAGACATCAGTACAGGAATTGATAGAGCCTCCAGTCTTATTTCCAAAGACAGTAGTGTTTCATCAGCTTTTTCTAACTGTCTGGGGTGTTTCTAGAGTGGTTGAGGGTCTGGAAGTAGTTGCAGGAATGTCTGCTCAAGCTCGAATACATTCATCTGTAATTATAAAGCTCAAAAGGGTATGAGTTATATGATGAAGACGAGGCATACTTGCAACAAGTCGGAGGAGTCAATAAGGATATAACTTCGAGTCTCCTTCTGCCGACACGCGATATAAAAACAAACGGCAATGATGTTCATATTCTTCCGTCCTTTCGTAAATTTATGTTCAGTTCAAGAGATAGAGTGTACATGCATATCGCAGCTGTCTGGACGACCTCCGAGAAGCGCATAACGGCTCCGACGTTCTGGATCTCCTTACTTGCTAGAAGGGCAAATTTATGAGGACTGTGCCACCAAACCGAAATCAAATATAAATATACCATTATCAATCGTCTATTCACGAGAATCAGAAGTGCTTCTCTTCCCATACAGACCTCACATCCTCGCGTGCGCTAAAGATTAAACAAAACGATGACAACGACAACAACACATAAACATCACTTAGCTCAACTTCACGAGCGCAAACTAAGACCAACCGCTTACTTGCACCGTGTCCAACAAACGACCCCTTCACGATCACCGCATCACCCGACGACTCGCCAAACACAAGTTCAGACACAATCGCATTCTTCTCAACAACCGTCCCACAACCAACACAGAAAGCCATTGCCTGCAGCTGCATCGTATTCTATGATTTTACCACCACAGTCACCATACACTGCCTGTTTGAATTCATTTCAGCATTGTCATTCACAAATAAAATAAGCTTTGTGGGAAGTATGCCATTCCAGTGAATAAAAATTTAATAAACATAAGCCGGGGTATCTGAGAGAACAGAAGGGAGAAGGAGATGTGATAAAGTCGGACTTGTGGACCGTGTATGCGTGGGAAACACCTGACGCATTTTGATCCAGCTGCCACTTCACAAACTTTAACTTTAACTCGTCCCTTTCCTTCTACTACACAAAAAGAACACTATTAACGTTTTTTGAGGATTAACGTTGGCCCCTGATGGCCCACGAGTCAAGACTAACAAAGGCAAAAACAAGCTCGAGTAATAAACGCGAACGGTAGTTTTTTCTCTCAATTCTCACCGTTCCGAAGTAACTTGCTTACGTTGACGAACCAGTCTTCAATCGATTTCGGCTGCATCCGCTGCAAAATACTTCAAAAGCCTCGCGTGGAAGTTCATAGATCGATATCGCTACCAGTGTACCGTTAAAAATTGCTCTGGAGTGGTGTTTTTGCGATGTTTCTCGTAAACATCCATCTTTGGTCTCTCAGTGAAGCCCACTGAAACAATGAGCATTCAAATCCATTCATTCGTAAGTCCACTTTCCTTTCGCATCCTAGTTCAACACATTAATAAGGATTTAGGATGAGCGAGCTAGGCTTTCCAAGTAATGCTCTGTGCGACTATTCAAGGGCGACCCCACCTCGTTCTTGTCTCCGACTGGTCCAACACCAGCGCTAGCCGATTGCGTACTTGACGAAAGTTCGGCATGGATCGTGGATGTCTGCAGACCTGGTAACTTGCTGAGCTGTTGTGCAAGACCTTCTATCCCGTCGGATCTTAAACTCAGTTCCATGAGTCACCATGTGGTAGGCTTCAGTGATTTCGCGACATCGCCTTGTCGGTAAGCGACATCAGCTATAGGATTAGTATATTATCGTACTGAATTTATTTAATCAGTACGAATGCTTATGAGTTTCCAATAATTTTCGCATTCATCGTGACTGTAGCTTGCCCTGGTAGTGAAGAGTTCCCTTGCGGCATTGAAACAGAGCGAGTCCATCCGTGAGTGGTGTTTCATTCCCCATCCCGGTAGTGTGTTTATTAAATATGAATAGAAGATGTGCACGCCAGGCGCTTTTGACCAATCTCCTCACCTTCCGCGGAAGTGTACGGATCTTCTCACTTGGAGAATCTGTGCGATGGCTGAGACTCTTTACTGTTGTCTCGTGCATAATCTTCTTGATCTTCGTTTCTGAAGGGCACTTCGACCAACCAGATTATGAGGAGGCTTGACTGATCTCGAAAGATCAGCAAGCCAAAAGCTGACGCTGAATTGGGCATCGCTTTTATATTATTACATGGAGAAGGAAGCCATTGGCCGTACAGGAAGTGCGAAACAGAAAGAAAACAAAAGAGGAAACAAGAGATACAAATACAGAAACGAGTACAAGTACAGAGCAGGTGGAGGACAAGAACTGCTGGTGGAAAGTCGAGGAAGGACTTTGGGGTGCAGTCGCGACGCGGAAAGTAGAGACAAACGTGCCGAAAGTGATGAAGGGCTATCGCCGACGTTGTTGTGCAGACGCCCGGCAGTCGTTCAACTCGCCATTGCATCGGAGGATACTGTCGGGTTGCTGATATACACTTCGGAAGACTCGGATAAATTGCGGATAGCGTTGAAGGAGCATTATCTAGCAGAGAGCAGACGCTCAATTGACGATGGTCGATTTCAAAGTCTGTGGACGCGTTAACGACACCGGACTAACAAGAAGGCAGACATAAGAAGCCAGGAGGGCGAGCAGGCCCACTTTGTGGTTCATTACCGTAATTGAGGTGTGGAATGATCTCTTGATCGTACGCATCTTCCTCTAGACGACTGTCGAGATGAACGATAAAAATTCGAGACCTCTAGGCTTGGTTGGATACGTTCGTGACGCTCAAGGCTGTATGGAACCGCTTCTTTTGGTGACATCCATACGAACTATCTAGCGCTGTCTGTCTCCTCATCACGCTGGGGAGTTGACAATCGTGATACGGAGTGTGATGGAGGAAGAGATGGAGGGCTGGGAGCCCTTGATCTTCTGTCAACAGGGATGGAAGGAACCGAAACATCATCCTCGCCTTCGTCCTCGTCCTCACCCTCATCCCGAACGTCCATCAACTCGTCCGTTGGATCCGCTTCCTCCATCGTTCCCGGAAGAACAATCACAAGGGATCTATCAAACGATTGGACGTCTTCCGACTGCGCACGTGGCGTCGAAATCGGTGTCGAACCGGCCGACTTGGTTTTTTCCCCATGGTATTCGTTATCTTGAGTCAATAGATCCGGCGTGCTCCGGTTACCATCGAACTTGAACGTGTCCTCGGTTGCCAGTTCGTATTCTGGCATCAGCAGACTCCAATCCCGAGGCGGAGGAGTATCCCAGAAGAAATCCTCCTCTTCATCCTCTGTTTTTATGAGAGTGAAGTCTACCTCATTTTCTAGTGGATCTTCTAAAGTCGGTCGTTCTGATGCATGATCTGGAGATGGCGACCTCGTCGTCGTGTTTCCCTCGTCGCTTCCCGAGTTTGCGGGACCTGCGGGAAAGACGATGCTGCGCGATCGCAGCTGACGGACGTTGGTCGCACCAATCGTGTTGTCCAACGACTTTGAACGTGTGTTGGATAGCCCCGCAACGGCCTCCTCACTAATACGCCGCCTCTTCGTTGGCCTTGCCTCGTCTTCTTCGCCATCGACGCCCTCGATTGGGCGTTTGCCGCCTACCCGGACAGCACGACCTTGAGTAGTCGCCCTTCTAATTTTTCTGCGGGTCCACCCATGGCCACGCTTTTTACGAGCCTTCGGCTTGGGAGGGGGCAGGGAGGAGACTCCCGGAAGTTCTGGGCCTTATGTCAGCTCAATGCTGCACTTACGTATGGAGGTCTAACTTACCTTCACGAGAATTTTGCGGACTTTCGGTGGAACGATCCCGATGCCTGTGGCTGGCTATCAAGGACCTC